CAATGAAAATGGCTATAAAACGAGGACACTTTGACACGTTTTGGCCTATACTTCAGGATCAACCCGAAACAGAAAATGAGGCAGGGCAAGGAGGGTGCATCACAGGTCATAGGCGGACCTAAACAGATGAGTTTTAAGGGACTTTTTGAAAAGTGGACGTTTCACAATGACGGATATGGAAGGGGAGCTGGTTCCAGAACGTGGGCCCATGGAAGTAGAAGGAGCGTTCACTGATGGTCTTAGTTTTGGTTCTTGGGATTGTTGACATTGAAATTTGAGTCGTGAATAGGAATTTGATAAAATATTAATATTTACAAAGTAAAATTGTCAAATTAATAGTCATAAGCACAGCACATTTGAACATTATTTCATTGCTTATGTTTGAACTGAGCTCGGATTGAATATTGGAAACCATCTTTAAAGATGTATAATCATGAGGCCCGTTAAAGAACAATACGGCCCTCTGCGCAAATAGGTTGCCCGCCTCCGCCAAAGACACTGTACTGATGCATTGTAAAAACAAGGTAACAAGACACACACTGATACAGCCAACAATTTAAAGTGAAGTAATACATTTTTGTAGTCTGACCAATCGAATTCTTAATATGCCATTTCCTTCATTTTTTTTGTTCATGGGACTTTCTTTTTTGTATATTAATTATTAATGTTATGTTGGCGGCAGTCATGTCATATTCGCACCAGTATAAAAAAAAAGGGGGGGGGGCTGTTTGACATATGCTTCTTCTTTATTTTGACGGTCCACGATCAATGTATCAGTAACGGTATGGGCATGGGACAGTTCGCCACCGCCATTTCGCATCCACTATTTTGCCACCGGGACGTTTCGCTGCCGTAATTTCACGGCCCAAGAAATAGAAATTATTTTAAAACGAAAGTGATAATATAGTTTTAGAAAGGATTAAAATGTGGTTAAAAATTCACTAAGTAGCCCTGTCACCTGATCAATTCACTAAGTAGCCCTGTCACCTGATCAATTCACTAAGTAGCCCTGTCACCTTATCAATTCACTAAGTAGCCCTGTCACCTGATCAATTCACTAAGTAGCCCTGTCACCTTATCAATTCACTAAGTAGCCCTGTCACCTGATCAATTCACTAAGTAGCCCTGTCACCTGATCAATTCACTAAGTAGCCCTGTCACCTGATCAATTCACTAAGTAGCCCTGTCACCTGATCATCACCTTATCAATTCACTAAGTAGCCCTGTCACCTGATCAATTCACTAAGTAGCCCTGTCACCTGATCAATTCACTAAGTAGCCCTGTCACCTGATCAATTCACTAAGTAGCCCTGTCACCTGATCACTTCACTAAGTAGCCCTGTCACCTGATCAATTCACTAAGTATCCCTGTCACCTGATCAATTCACTAAGTAGCCCTGTCACCTTATCAATTCACTAAGTAGCCCTGTCACCTGATCAATTCACTAAGTAGCCCTGTCACCTTATCAATTCCCTAAGTAGCCCTGTCACCTTATCAATTCCCTAAGTAGCCCTGTCACCTGATCAATTCACTAAGTAGCCCTGTCACCTGATCAATTCACTAAGTAGCCCTGTCACCTGATCAATTCACTAAGTAGCCCATCACCTTATCAATTCCCTAAGTAGCCCTGTCACCTTATCAATTCCCTAAGTAGCCCTGTCACCTGATCAATTCACTAATTAGCCCTGTCACCTGATCAATTCACTAAGTAGCCCTGTCACCTGATCAATTCACTAAGTAGCCCTGTCACCTTATCAATTCACTAAGTAGCCCTGTCACCTTATTCATTATTTCAAATTATATAAGGCGGGCTATTTAAACCCGGTAGGATTCTGGGTCATCGGATACGTTGTTATGCAGTCGAAATCACCTGCATACATCGAAAGTTGTGAAAGACATTGCGAATGTGTATATAATTTTACCCGGCCTTCCATGTTTTTGCTAGAGTTTATTGACTCAAGTGTGAACATTTAACACACATTGTAGTTGTTGATTTCCAGGAGATCTGTGCTCAGGCCATCCACTCACAAAGAACAGTGGAACCCGCTATAACAGGACACTTGGAAAAGAGGGGGGGGGTAATAAAAATCGTATAACGTTTTATTTGACCTGGAAGGCTTGTGTCCAGGCTAATTGTCAAGGGGAGAGGGCACTCATAAGTGCCAAAAAAAAACCCCCAACAACAACAGAATTTAAAAAAACATCACGTTTATTCCCATAAATTGATGTAGGAGCTTACGCAAACCTAAAAAAAAACCCAAAAAACAAAAAAAAAACAAAAACAACAACAACAACAAAAAAAAACCCAACAACTGACAAACAAATTTTGACATTTGCACATACAATATGGATTTTCTTGAAACTTCAACATACTTAAATCCCCTGTTTATTTACTTATAACTTTAGAGTTAAAATAACTGTTTATATAACAGCGAAACGGCCGTTGGTTAGACGTTCCAGCGCAGGCGAAACGATGGCGCTGGCAAAGTGCGTAGGCGAAGGGGCGGCGGCACATTTTGACAGATCCCTTGGCAACACACTGTCACAAAGCGTAACCATCGATGATGAAGGACACCCTTGAATGGAAAGAGCCAGCGCAACCTACGTCAATACGTCCAATAATGTATGGACCAGGAGACTGAAGAGATACAGCAGCAACCAAAACTTAAATAGAAAGCCTTTAAGGCGACTTTACAATAATGAAAGAAAAAAAAAAAAGAAATGGGATTATAATATTTTCTCCTTATTATTTGAATAGCCACAAAAGATGTTAAATATATTTTTACCAATAATGTATGGACCAGGAGACTGAAGAGATACAGCAGAAACCAAAACTTAAATAGAAAGCCTTTAAGGCGACTTTACAATAATGAAAGAAAAAAAAAAAAGAAATGGGATTATAATATTTTCTCCTTATTATTTGAATAGCCACAAACGATGTTAAATATATTTTTGCGCACACGTTTATCATATTTCCACAGCCAGTTAATTTATCACAGATTTTTAATCGCATGTTTAAAAAAAATAAAATAAAAGAGATAAAACATATTAGCTTTTCATAAAGGATTTAATAAGTTATAAGTGAAAGATAATAAAATAATAAATGCCGTGTTTCACTCATTTCTTTATCATGATCTAGAAATCGACTTGCTTTTTAAACATATTTAAGAAAGTATTGACCAAAAGCATTAAATAATGAAATTAATTTAATAAAATAGCTGTCATTACTTTACTTGATAAAGTGCGATTTTTAGGCAATACATTTATGGAAATATTTGTTCTAAAATTTTTAGTTCACATTTTTATGGGTCGTTTTTATTAATTAAACAAATTTCTAAATTTTTTTAAAAAGGATTGTTATGTCTTAGAAAAGCAGCTTCAATCCCCAGCTCATCCTACAGCCACCCCTTCGATTATCTGTGTCATCAAGATAGTTAGCTGTCCACTGATTAGCAGCAGCACACAGGTTTCTGTTGGGACTTGCCCCGCACTGTGTAGAATCACCATCAGGGTACCACGAATAGCAGATCTTTGCAGTCTTTAGCCACAACGGGGAGGATTCAGGGACTTCAATTTTCCAATACATCCGACATCCTCCACCACGATTGTTCGAGTCATCGAGGTAAGGGGGGGAGAACTCGTTGATTCCAGCACAGAGTATGGATGCAGGGCCGCTACATTGACCATCACGTCCATCAGCGGACCACTGGTAACATACCTTCACATCAGAAAACCAAGACGGGGAGCCCGTGGACTGAATTCCCCACTGCATTTCACATCCACCGGCTCTGTCATCTGTGTCATCTAAGTATGGTTGTGTCATAAAATTCGGTTTCGCACAGAGCAGTTCTTCAGCTCCCCCACCACATTGTTCTTTATTGCCGGTCGTCCATCATTTAAAGCAGAGTTTGGTATTCGATGTAAACCAGTCTGGGACTAGAAAGATACCTTCAACTGTCTTACCTAAATCGTTTACTTCATTTATGTCGAGCAATGTTCTATTTTTCAAATCTGAGACACTTTGTTGTAGCGCAGTGATTGTGGAATCACCTGATTTAGCCTTAGCCGTGGTTATTAATCGGTCCAACTCGTTTAAGTAACTTCTCAGCACATAATTGTCAACAGCCTTTTCCATTGAACTTCTTTTGTCTTCATTCTCGATCAGTTCGCTGATTTGTGTAAGCTTGCCAGAAAAGAGCCATGGGTCTTTGTCAACCGTCGGCTGCCATTTCTGAATTCCGTCCTGCACTAGTAAATTTCTATCGCCACCAAAGTACTGAGCGAAATATGTGGTCGCAGTGGAAAATGTCTCGTCCACCTTAGTCGAACTGGAAACTTTGCCTCCATGAAGAGAAATAATATTTAAAAATGAAGCTTTGGCGTTATTCTCCACATCAGAGTCCGTCTTGGAAGAGAAAAACTCTTTTTTTGTCTCCAACACTTCCCTGACAAAGCCACCGAAATTCGCCGATGAGAAATAGTGCGTACCGAACTGATTGATAAATGTAAAATAAGCGGATTGATTTTTCTCAAACGTGCCAGAAATTTTTCGATCGATAAAAATCTTAGCAAAGGTGTCCATTTCTAGGACCCAGCTTGGATCAAACTCGACATTTGTAGCCGACTCAAATGCTGATACCTCAGAGATGTACTTGGAGTTGTTAGTGATAGTGTTTTGCATCGTCGTGTAGGAGTGACTCGCGGAGAAAGCAAATTTCCAAATCAACCCTTCTCCCCCTACATCCTGTGTCATCTTTTCCCTGATTTCATTGTAAGATTTGTAAATGTCTGTTTCTGCCGAGAGCCAGCCACCTGGTAGGGAAGTTATCTGCCATACCTCAAAAAAAAAGAATGTTATAAAAAAAGTAAAATAATAGTAAGTATTATTGACTAATGAAACACAAACATTACCTTAAATATAGCAAATAAAACTAATAATATATTAAGTGGTTTAAAACTTGCATCTTTTCAATTGTCTAGTTACATATTTTTTTAATAAACCAACGGAAAAAAATATAAATGGCCTATAGAAATAGCGGGGAATAAATGTTTTCTGTAGTTATATTAAATTATACTTTGTCATCTCAAAGTAATTAATCGATGGTCCGTCGAAATTGGACGGAACATATGTTATTAGTTATTAGTTATTGGGTTTATCCTTTAATGACGGAATCTGTTCAAAGAATATCCGGGCGGCGTACAGTCTGACCAATCACATTATATATGGCATCCTTCCGTCTTCGCGAGACTATGGAGTAGCTATGTAGTCCTACACTTCGACTAGTGGCTCACTAGGCCAATCCTGGAATGACAATCTCGACTGCATTTCTCACAGGAGATTATTAATTCCTGGTTATGTTAGGTCTTCCGTATTCTTCTTTTTTGTTGCAAAGGCCCCGTTTCGTGCCTCAATGTTAGTGTTATTTAGGTGTGATCTGAGAAGTCGGTCTCGACGGGGCCATTCCTAGTTATATTTGAAATATGGGGCATTTTAAAGTTAAACACTAGTCAAATATGTTAAAATACGTCAAATCAAAATTGACTTTAAAGTTCTAGAGCTACAGCCAATTTACCTGGTCCGGGAGTTGATACTCATCCTCTCCCTGGCCACCACGCCACGTGTTTCCATCACCGCACGTGAATGTCACCACAGGACTTTTAAAACCATCCAATCCCGGTTTTGATGGGGTGAGGTCCAGTTTTGTGATGTCCACCCCTCTCACCATTTTCTGTAATCCAGGGACTGGGTTAGAGCACCTGTCTGATATTCCATTTCCAGGAACCACCAGAAAGTAGGCTGTTATCAGTAGCACAGACGCGCACTTCAAAGACTTCATCGCGTAGCTTAAGATGTAGGGTATTAAAAACGAAACGTTTTGAAAGACACGTACACTGGACAAAGTGAACACATTTTGAAATCCATTCTAAAAAAATAAAAATTGAAAATAATATACTGAAGCAAATTTACAAGTTCAAGAATAGAAAATATTTCAAATAAATTAAAAATGTATATCACGTTACATTTAAATTAATTTTGAAGCTTACTTATTTTTAAAGTCTAACAATTTTTCTTTTTTGAGCCATAAGATGTGGATGGTATATGATAAAAATACAAATTTGAAGCTAGTTCATCGACTTTGTTTAAAAGAATCGCCATCTTAATCTCTTTGATATTTTAATTTATTTTCGCCTAAGTTTGCGCTAATTCTGTTCATTCTCAAATTTTCCTTTTCCTAAGTGACATCAACGTACGAAATAGTTAGGGCGTTTATTTCATTTTTTTAAAAAGAAGCGTTTCTTCTAACTGCAAATAATTTTTGTATCTTACCGTAGCCTTCTTACTGATGATGGCATATTAGATTATACTTTTTTTTTTTCGTACCATCTCCATGACATTTTTTGGTCAAATGATCTATTTTTGTATTTATTTTTTTGGGTCCCATTTTAAAATAATAATACGTATAAAACACCAATGAAAACAGTAAATGAGATTTCCCTTTGCCATACAAATATGGGATATTATCGCGTATAATGCGAGAAATTGTGGGTAAAAAATGTTATTTAGAAGGAGGGTTTCATTATATGCGGGTGTAAGATTTTTTAATAAACCGGTAAATAATATATTGTTACATGAGTATATAACCCGGTATTACTGACTTAATAATGTAAGGAATATTGCATTGCTTTCCATCCATTCTTACGAAGTCTAAACTTCTAAAAATCCAAATTTTTTGCATGTTCATGAAAATTGAATAGAGTTTTGGTGTATTGGGCGCGACACATATTTATTACAGCAGCTTTATTAGATATCTCAAATTCTGTGTGTAAGACGCCCGTAGAAGAAATTACGATGGGGCATCAGTTTGGAAAGCGAGACTATTCTTCAGAGCAGAGACACTAAGTTGGTGAAGATTAGCAAATTTCATCATGCATACGGTGCATTCCAGTATCCTCTTATGGTCTGCGGTGGAGATGTTGTTTACTGCATTAACCCTAAGCGGACCTAAGTACGAAATGTTTTAAATATGGGACAAAAGACTCAAGATAGAAAATACAAAATCGTTCGGGTGTTTCATCTGAAAGATTAAAAAAAACCCCCTGATTTATCTACTGACTAAGGATTCTATTTTTGGTCAAAGTAGGTGTTACATGTACACTGTGGAATGGCAGAAACGGCGTTGTCCTCACGCCAATATCTTGCAGCAGCTACACTAAAGAATCATGCCTGCCAAATTATACCAAGCGTATAAATTGCAGATAACAAGGTTGAACCTCCTTTTCACTACATTGTAATTGTAAAGTCTACGATGATTCATGGTCAATGTGGTATTCTAAACAGACGTCCACCGTGAAAGCTTGGTGGATCATGCAGAAAGCGATAGCCACGTCCACTATCCACTAGCGTTGTTTCAGACTCTTAATGGCTTTACTTTCTTGACTGGCCGGGGGACTTCACGAAGACATTACCCGTCGTGCATCGAGGCACGCGGGCTGACGAGGTCAAAGCCTGCCTTTAATTCATGCTGCCTATAGCCGAATATCCAAGTCTGATCTTGCGAGTTAGCGTGAGGGTTCAACCCAAAGGCGCTCTAAAGGCAGAGGGGTTCTCAAATTTACTTCTCAATGTTTTTTAACCATCCAATATTAACAAAATGAATTAACAGCTATGGTAATACTAGCATTAAGGAACGCAGACCTGGTTTACTGAAGAAGTCCAACACTGTTTATTTACATTAGACTATAATACCATTTAAATCTGATATATCCATACTTCATAGCAAGCTAGAGAGAGGAAAGAAGAAGAGATAAAGAACAAATGACAAGAAGACTTAAGTTACTACAAATAAAAAAGACGTCATGGAATAGCTCCATACCGGACGTATACACAAACTCAACACTAAACATTAAATCAATAATTAACAGTTGTGTTGAAATAACCACACCCATTTTAAATTGGAATAAGCTAAAGAAATTTGTATTAAAATAAATATCCGTTTCTTTAATTCGTATCGTCTTATTTTGGACAAAATTCACCGATCCCGTTATACGCGGTAATATGCGGCAATCATTAAAATCATTATCTAGCTTAATGTGACATGAATGAAACGATTAGATTAAGCAAAGGTAAATGTGACATGAATGAAACGATTAGATTAAGCAAAGGTAAATGTGACATGAATGAAACGATTAGATTAAGCAAAGGTAAATGTGACATGAATGAAACGGTTGGATAAAGCAATGGCAACCTAACACTATATAGCTAAAACTATTCTCAGAACTTTATAATTTAGATCCAGTTTAACTATTATTTCCCTCAAATGTGCATACATGCAAGATACAGTGTTCTTCTCCATTATTTCCCTCAAATGTGCATACATGCAAGATACAGTGTTCTTCTCATAACAATTACATCTGAATTAAAATGCAAATTTTCTCAAACCTGTACCTTCTCATAGGCGCACATAAAAAAATGTTGTTTTGGCAGCTATTTATACAGTGTGCTCTAACTAAATGTTCATGGACGGCTTCAGTAATTGATAGCCAACATGTTACAGATGAACATAATATCTATTTGAAGAGAGGTGCGGGATTTCCGACCACATATTATTCTACCTACACATGCAGACATTCGAGAAATTTACACACACGCACGCACACACACGCACACACACACACACACACACACACACACACACACACGCGCGCGCACACACACACACACACACAAACACAAACACACACACACACACACAACTACACACGCACACATACGAGAAATTTACACACACGCACGCACACACACGCACACACACACACACACACACACACACACACACACACGCGCGCGCACACACACACACACACATACACACACACGCACACGCACACACACACACACACACACATACATATATATATGCTATGGGATCCTACACCCTGACAACAACATTTTGACAAGAAGTATGGAAGAAAACTGTTTATGCAGGAACAGAACATTGATGTCAGGGGGTGGTTAGAGCCTTTGGCTGTGTAATGGACTTTGGAATCTTGTTCCATTCTTAACTGTAACGCTGATCAATGGGAATGACGTAGGTAAAAACTATGTAAGAAATATAGGCGCTTTATGAAGTGCCGTTAAAAGGCATGGAGACACTGGCCAGTTGCACAGGGCCTCACGCTTCTAGGTGCCTCATGATATCCATATTCTTTTAAATGAATACTGAAAAAAACTTTTGGAAATTTAGTTTGCTTTAAAGTGCAATGGCAAGCACGGTTCTCAAGTTTCTATGAATTAGATCAAAGGTAAGGGTACTGAAAAGAAAAGACGAACACTATTTACTTTGTGTCTCATCTCTAAATTTATTTCATCTGAAAGAAACTAAAATGCACACTATAAGCTTTTTAATTTACTGAGGTATGCACAACATAAATGTTTAAATATATGTACCGCCTCACGGTAGAAAGATTGCATGTAGCTCACATATATTGTTAAACATCTCGCTGACGAAAGGTTACTGCCGACTCCTTTAAAACGAGTCTATTTTTTCGTGTCATGCAGGCACACTTCTTGGCGGATCTTCACACTGAGCAGACTCAACTTTAACTTCCCCACAAGAAGACATCAGGTGGCGTGAAATCAGGGAAGGGAGATGGGTGTGAGAAGCTAGTACCGTACTACATGAAATGATCCGTCCAGGCAAAATTTTCATGGAAATAGATTCTCGAGCGGTATGCCTCCTTAACGTACTAGGGTGAGGGTAAGAGGATTGCCGTCGTCATTCTCAGTGAAGTAGGGGCCTAATATTTCCGTGTGCTGAAATGTAGCACCTTATCACCGGTACACTATGTATCTGGCAGCTAAAACCATTTTGCTTTTTTGGCAATTGAAGTAGCCGTCCAATTGAATGTCCCAAAAAAATATTTATCCTCGTACACTATGACAAAAATTGCTAAACATCTTCATTATGGCTCTCATATCTGGCTCTGCCTAAACTGTATCCAGTACTAAAAGGCATCCATGTCCTTAAATAATCGGGGATCGGACATATCGCTGATGTTCAGTTTCAAAGATGTTCGTAGTGGCGAATATATAAAATCTGCTGTAGAGCACGTGCATGATTATCATTAGTCAAATCAGTTACAAACAGACCAGTAATACCCTTCCGTTGTGTCAGTAAATTTCCATAACGATGAAATTAATTGACAATAGAACAATTAAGCGACTAACACGGTGGCGCATTATTGAAACTATCTCGGCATTTTTGTGCCTCCTTTTTTCAAATTCGGGCCTCCTTTACGAACAGTTTCGTAGGAATGGATATTGAGTGTAACTATGAAATTTTGTTTTTCTCCGTAGAGAGATCGATTTTCAACAACTGCCCAACACCACGTCCTCGACACCACAGGAAACACGGGGCGGCTGCAGCTATGCACCGTTGAAAAACGTACGTACGCGTTCAAGATGTGGCAGTATCAGTACTGTTAATTTTGGCGCATACTGTGCTTGTAGTGCATAAAAATACCTTCATAATTACTTTTGACTTTTGACACCAGCGATATCATAAACAAATGAATGGATTCGCTTCTTCGTAAGATAATCTTAGAGCATTATAGTTAACCAGAGTTGCTTTGCCCACGGTCCTCATTAAGCTATGCATCAACGGAAAGCAATCAACAGTAACGTTTATCGCCAACGGATGATACGCATCCGGTGGCGTAGCTCTAAATTGGGCCAACTATGGGCCGGCCTTGAGTT